GTCAGAACCATTTGAATCCCTTGCCATTCCCTCTTCACTATACCCACACTGCTACATATAATACAATACAGTAGGTTAAATTGCATACAGAAAACCGAACCAGGAAGCTGATGGTAACATGCATAGCCGAGTATTGCTAAATTTGTGCAGTTAATTGTCCAGCTATAACAAAAAAAAAAATCAGTTTTCCTGGAGTTTTTTCATAAATCAGAACATAAACCAAAAATAATTACTACATTAGCTAATATATATGGTACTTTTCAAACTTTTCGAAAACCATTGCTTTCTATACGATCCTATTGCTTTCTAAAATGTGCGGGGTGTTTACTAACTTCTCCAAATGCTAATATCACATGTAAAGAATACTGCACAACCATTTGAAAGACTACATTACCCATAACCCTCTGCAAATTCTCTCTCAAACAAGGCAACACCGATCATATGTAACAGAAAAACAAAAAACAAAACACAATTTCTGTCGATATTTTGTCATATCTTGTCTCCCAGTTAAGTTGGGATGTCTGTAACTTAAAATAAAAGTGCAAAAATTGTTTATACAGATGTTAAAGGTCCGATATTACGCAAAATTGACTCTTTTAGTGAATTTTTAGCCATGTTATAATGTTGTTACTATCAAGACGTAACCGTAGTTTTGTGTTTTGTTTCATTCACACATGTTTGAGTAACCTTTTATTATTAGTCTGTCTGCGTCTCCAAAGCTCAAAATGCTCTGTTCCACCTTGTGATGTCATGAAGTGGTAGTTTTCAAGTTAACAGCTACCAGGGGAGGGACCAAGTTGTTGTTTTGCAAGTCTCAAGTAAGTTTTTGACCTCAGGTCCCAAGTCAAATACAGTCAAGTCCAAGTTGAGTCTCAAGTCACTGGCTCATAAGTCCAAGTCAAGTCAAAGTCGTCCGATTTGTGCTTCAAGTCAGTTCAAGCCTTTAAAACGTACCAAATATAGCTTTGATTTTTGCAATTTATATTAATTTTAAGCTAATTGTACTTAAAAATGTACTTAGAAATGCACATCTTTCCTTTTTAAATGTCTTGATAAGATCTTAGTGTGAATCATTACAGTCAGAATAGAAAGAATTAAGATTTAAAAGTGCTTAATAAGTTATTTTGTTGTGTAGTCTGCACTGAAATGGAAGGATCATGTCCTATGTAGTTACCTCGATTTTACTGTATTACTGTACTATTTACTGTACTGTACACTACTGTACTGTACTGTATATTACTGTACTGTACTGTTATTATACTGTATATACTGTATTACTGTATATACTGTATATTACTGTACTGTATTGTATATTACTGTACTGTACTGTATATTACTGTATTACTGTACTGTACTGTACTGTACTGTATATTACTGTATGTACTGTATATTACTGTACTGTATATTACTGTACTGTATATTACTGTACTGTACTGTATATTACTGTACTGTACTGTATATTACTGTACTGTATATTACTGTACTGTACTGTATATACTTACTGTACTGTACTGTATATTACTGTACTGTACTGTACTGTATATTACTGTATTTTACTGTATATTACTGTACTGTATGTATACTGTACTGTACTGTACTGTATATTACTGTACTGTACTGTATATTACTGTACTGTATATTACTGTACTGTACTGTATATATTACTGTACTGTATATTACTGTATATACTGTACTGTACTGTATATTACTGTATTGTACTGTATATTACTGTATTTTACTGTATATTACTGTATTGTAGTGTGTATTACTGTAGTACATTTGAAGATACCATCTAACAGTACTTCATTTACATCCAAAGTAACAAACAGAAGTGTGAAGGACATGTTCCAGTTTGTTCCTTTAAGCGCCGCATTTATCAAGGAGCATTTAGGAGAAACAACAAGTCACAGGCCACAAGTCTGAGTCAAGTCCCAAGTCATCGAGCTTCAAGTCCAAGTCGAGTCCCAAGTCTTAGTCCATTTTATAAAGTCAAGTCTCAAGTCCTAAAAATAGTGACTCAAGTCTAACACGGGTCCAAGTCTCCACCTCTGACCACTATCTTTTACCTTTTGTTTAGTAGAGACTGAGTGCTTTCAGTTTGAGAAAAGAACTCAGCCTAAACATAAAAACACACGTGAACGAAACAAAACACAACTCCAGGTCTATTTGTGCTGAGGAAACAACATTCTAACATCAGATCAGAAAACAGCGTAATATTGGCCCTTTAAACGAATTAGTTTTTTCCATATGCGTAATACTGAAAGGCAACGATAATATAAGTTGTCTGAAGTTGTCAGTCATCACTACACCGGGGTCTAGTCATATTTACATCTTTTTAATAAAACAATATGTGCTTTTATTTGTCAACTCTCAGTCTCTTGTCAGTAATAACACGGTCAATCAGCGTTTCTCAAACTGTGGTAGTAGCTCGTGATTTTGTAGTACATCTAAATACTTAACTTCTAATGTCAAAATAATAGCAAAACAATTATTATATGTTTTAAGTGCAAATTGCCATCGTTTAAATGTTATTGCTTTTCCTACACTTCATTATACGACATTTCAGGTGCACTGTGTAACTTTTCTGATAGTGTCCACCAACTGCTTTATTTTATGTCTTTTTTTTTCTGGAATGTTCTACAGTATGGCATTTAATTTAACTATTTCCATGGAGCCAAGCAGGGGATGTCACCAGGCCAAGTTACAGGTCAGATCTGTGGAAAAGTGGACCCACTGACAGGAATAATGCACGTTTTTGCGGTATTTTAAGTAATAAAAATATACTGTAGACCATTCCAGGCAAAGCAATAACATAACCGTGGAGATGAGCAGAAAAGCTACACAGTGGACCTTTAAACTACATGTAGACAAGGTGTCACCAGGCCAAGTTACACGTCAGATCTGTGGAGAGGTGAGACCAAGCGCACAGTAAAGCAATAAAATCACCCATATTGAAATAAACTCTAAGATTCATTCATTCAATTCAAAATGATCACGTAGTTTAATGTCATATATTGAAGCATTGTAACAAAAGCAATAATGTTTCCAGAAAAGGTACACAGTGCACTTTTAAATAGGATGTCAAATATATCGCTTATGCTTAGGGAAAGACTGGTTTGTACTGATTTGTAAGTGTTGGGTATCATTTTCAATTTGGTTTCACTTTTTCCTAGCCCGATTCATCAGCTGGTTTCACTTGGTGGAAACCATCTGACCTCGCAGCATTAGGATTAATTCACTTGACGGTAGGCGGTACTTTTTTTAATTTAACCAATCACTGCTATTTGGTCGTGACGTATGTAAAGCGGCGCTATTGTAGCTAAATGGTATATTATGCTTCTCCCAAATCCCGTAGGAAGAAGGGCAATAACGTGTTTCCCCTTGATAACATTCACCAAACATTCTCTTTGTTCCGGCTTTAAATCCTTGATCTCGGGAATCGTCGCCAACACAGAATGTATGTCTCTTCGCACTTCCGGGGTTTTTGCAAAACGTCTAGTGCATTCTGATTCCTGACCTAGTCGCTGGAGAGAAATGAAATTGAGCGGAGGCACTAGGTAGCACCAGCCTGACTAACTTTTTCCTGTTTTGAACATCTTGCGATCTTAATAAATATTTTAAAGCTATTCATGAATTCATTTTGCATGGGGACAAGAGATAGAAACAACACTAATAATATTTAAAGGTCCTGATTTACGCAAAATTGTTAAAATCGCTAAAATGTTTTTGCCTCATCACAAACACGCCTGGAGTTGCATTTTTTTCTGTTTCTCTACATCTCCAAAGCTCAAAATGCTCTGTTCCACCTTGTGATTACATGAAGCGGTAGTTTTGAAGTTACATCTTTACCTTTTGTTCAGTCAAAATTGGCAATTCCAGGGCTGAAATGATCAAAATGATTCTAGTCAAAGTGTATGGAGTTTAAAAACACAGTGGAATAACATCACAAGGTGGAACAGAGTGATTTCTGCTTGAGAGAATGAAACAAAACACAACTCTGGGTATGTTTTTGACGAGGAAACAACATTATAACAGATCAGAAAATAGCGTAATATGTACACTTTAACTATTACTAAACATAAGTACCAGCACAGTTTGAGAATAACTGACCAAAAAGACGATTACACAAAGCTTTAGACAGCCTTTAAGTTTGACCAAGAGACAAGTAGTTATGTAGTATACATAGAGAAAGAATCTTTATATTTTCCGTCAAAAATATCTTCTCATTAAAATGTGCAACACCCAGCAGAGGGCAGTCTACCTCAAAGGCACCTGTATGAATGAGGTAGGATGGGGAGACATGGTTCAGCTAGTGTTAGTTTGACATAGAAATGAGAGTACAGAGCTCTTCTTTAATATTGGCACCACTGGTAGAATTTAAAGTGATTTATTCATATTTAAACCAGGACTAAACCAGGAACAAAACCCTTAAAACCCACTTTTAATCACTGGCTTTTAATACTGTGTGAGTTCTGTGGTCTTCTGTGTCCTTTATTTATTTAACTTATTTACTGCTATTTTATGATTTTTCTAGTTTTTGCTTTTATTTAGATTTTACTGGTTTTATTGTTTTAGGACTGGTATGACCAAAATTTTTAGCAATTTACCTTTTTGTTTACTTCATTTTATGATTTCTGTGCAGCACTTGGGAAACTGCTTTGCTTATAAAATGTGCTGTAGAAAAAGTGGATTTGGACTAAACCAGGACTAAACCAGGACTAAAGCAGGACTAAAGGAGGACTAAGGCAAGACTAAGCAGGACTAAAGCAGGACTAAGGCAGGACTAAGGCACTAAGGCAGGACTAAGGCAGGACTAAAGCAGGACTAAGGCAGGACTAAGGCAAGACTAAGGCAAGACTAAGGCAAGACTAAAGCAGGACTAAAGCAGGACTAAAGCAGGACTAAGCAGCAGGACTAAAGCAGGACTAAAGGCAGGACTAAGGCTGCCTTAGTCCTGCCTTAAGCCTGCCTTAGTCCTGCCTTAGGCTAAGGCAGACTAAGGCAGGACTAAGGCAGGACTAAAGCAGGACTAAGGCAAGACTAAAGCAGACTAAAGCAGGACTAAAGCAGGACTAAGGCAGGACTAAGGCAGGACTAAGGCAGGACTAAGGCAGGACTAAGGCAGGACTAAGGCAGGACTAAGGCAGGACTAAGGCAGGACTAAGCCAGGACTAAGGCAGGACTAAGCCAGGACTAAGCCAGGACTAAGGCAGGACTAAGGCAGACTAAGGCAGGACTAAGGCAGGACTAAATTTGTGTTAGGCTATGGATGGGTATCATGCCAAAAAAAATACAATTTCAAACTCGATTGTGATAACAAATAGACTCAATAGTTAATGCAGATTCTGATTCCACAATAATAATATACACTGTTTATTTAGATCATTGCTTTGCAAAGACTGGGTCGCAAGAGATTTATTTTTGGGTCACCTTGTCACGATCTGCATGTAGGCCTGCAATATAAAGTTCTGACACATGAGAGAGCAAGTGAGTCAGTGAATCTGCCTGCCTCGAACGAGTGTTTCTAGGCTTATTCCTTTCACTACTATGTATATGTGTGAACTGGAATTTTCTGTGCGCACAAAAATTAAGACAAAGCACAGAAACAGACTGAATACTGCGCCTGATCTGCATGTTGTGCTCTCCTCCTGCACTCGGACTGAAACATAAACAGGCCCACCTATCTCATTAGAAATGCTGAAATGTTAAGACATGTTTTGTATAATTTCTAATCTTTTTGTAATTATTTTATGGACTCTTTGGTTCCAATATTGCTGGTTCAATTGAATGTTGAAAAGAAAAAGAAATGGGCTACATTTAATGTCCAAATAGGCGACTTATGGATCCTTTTTGTTGCTGGTTTAATTACTGTTTTTCATTGTTTAAAACTTGAGTAATACGAATTGTTCAAAAAGACACGATCACTTAGTCAACAATAAAATATCCTCATTAATGTTCAATAATGGTCAAATCCACCTTTATTTTGTGATTTAGATTTTATAATTATATGTATAAAAGTTTGGGAAACACTGATTTAGACAATAAAATGTCATTTTCAACATTAAATCGTAGTACTTTCTTTTATATTACCATGTGGTCTTGTACTTGTTTTAGTATCTGATTGTCGATACTTTAGACAACCCTATTTTGATTTCATACAATTCATGTTTTCCTTAGCATTTATTTTTGTATTTTTGGACCATTGATGCCCATAAAAATATTGTCTAATATAAAACCAATAAAAATAAACTCTATATTGTGCAGTATGTGCATTTAAAAACAATGGATATTTATTTTACTCCTGTTAGTTAAAGTGGTGCAGATGTTAATGAAGAGCGCTGTAGTTACACGAGGAGAGATATATATATATATATAAATACTGCCAGTTAAGTGTGTTGATATGTCGCAGTGTGTCGCCCCCTGCTGGACAAACCGCAAAGTGTATGTGAAGTTCTGTGGGAGTAGGAGCTAGACAGCGGAGAGACAGAGGAGACAGGAAGACGGAGGATTGAGGGAGACTCAGCAGCAGCGCATCCGTGGAGGGGGCAGCTCCGGGGGCACGTCAGGTTCAGGCTGCAGGGACAGGACGCTGTTGGAGAGCTCTTTATTCATCTCCAAAGGCATCTGTCAATTCACAAAGAAAGGTTATGATTACTCTGATTGTCTGCTTTTGCCCTAGTTTGACCATTTCAAGGACCTGTGTTTAAGATTTTGATTTTAAACAGTGGTGGAGGAACAACAAACACCAGAGCAAAACAAATAAATAAATGCATCATATGAAAAAGCTACTTGCATAAAAATATTAAAAGTATTATTAAATAGTCAAATTATGCTCAAATTGCTCAAATTATGAACTTGATCAAATTAAACCCCTCCGTCTTTTCATTAAGTTTCAAACAAAAAACACTTTTACTTTTCAGTCCTGTTAACAAATGTAGTGGAGTAGAAAGTAAAAAGTACCCAGCAATGAAAAGTGTTTAAGTAAAGTTACGCAAGTACAGTACTTTACTACTTTTACCGTATTTTCCGCACCATAGGGCACGCTCTTAAGCCTCCAACCCCATCAAAAAACAACTGCGTGCCCTGTAATTCAGAGCTTCCTATACACGAATCCACTCGGGTGTCCCAGCACGACTTTTCTAAACTACAAAGCTGCACCACCCGCAGCGCACGCAAACACGCACGGAGCAGACAACGACCGCGCAGCGAAAAACACCCACAGACACACTCATCACTCCACGCCGACGAGGAACGAACCGAAAAAGCGAGGGTAATGTGCCACTTCTAGCCACAACTGAACAACTGAGTCACTGCGAACACGCCGACAATCCAGCGGTCAAAGACAGCACCCTCCCTACACGCCACAACTGAACAAAGCCCAGAGTCACCGTGAACGCCACAAACAAAGTCCCACTGACCCATCGAACTGTTGCGTTTTGTTTAAAGTCCAGTGCGGTTTATTTGTGAAAAATTTTCGAAAATAGACCATTCTATGACAGTGCGCCTTCTAATCCAGAGCTCTCTATAGTGCGGAAAATACGGTACTTCGTTAGACTCCACCACTGATTTTAAATTCCATAAACAAGATCTAACCTTGTCCTCAAATACGAACATACTAGTAGATTTTACTGATAATTAACTTAATATAAATCAAAAACTCTAATAATAATAACAATAGTAATATTTACACCACGGGTCTCCAACCTTTTTTCCTCCGGTGAGCTACCTTTACAAAACTAAAATGCCAGAGAGCTACTCGTTTTAGCAGTCACAAGAAATTTTGTAATTACAAGAGCCACAGCCTTAGATGGGAACAGTTATAGGCCTAAAAAACATAGACCATTATCCATTTATTAGTGCAGAAAGTAAAGTTAGGCATGAAAATTATGCACCAACAATTTTATTTTATTTTATTCTACTTGGAAGGAGGTGGAGAGCTACTGATGGCTCCAGAACTACAGGTTGGAGAGTCCTTATTTACACTACACAATTCTCAATGTTTCCTGACCACAGTGACAAATATCATAATCATATCCTTCACTATCAAATAAAAATTGTAGTGTACGATTTGATGTTATGATTCTTACATCAACGACAGCCTTAAGGAAAGCGTGTAAAAAGAAGAAGAGAAAATATGTTAAGAAGCAAAACTGTTCTTTCACTTCCAATCTTTGAATGAGGAGATGAAATAATGAAATACTCACTTTGCTAATAATGTCATCCACAAGCTTTAGGAAGATCTCGTCTACATTAAAGTTGTCCTTGGCGCTGGATTCACAAAAACGCATCCCACTTATTCTCGACGCAAACTGGAACACACAAGGCCAAACGTGTTTTACATGTAACCTGAATTGTGTGAATGAAGAAAAGTATTTGAGAAACATGCAGTGTATGTCGCATGTGTGAGATTTACCCTCTCGCCCTGCTGTTTGGAGATGACCCGGTCCGATTCACAGTCCAGTTTGTTCCCGACCAACAGCAGCTCTGCGTCCTCTGAGGCGTACTGTCACAGACACAAAGGAGGGAAACATTAAACAGACGTAAACTCATACGATAGACATATGTCCCACTTTAAATCAAACTGTCCTGATTTCATGCTGCTCGTTTCGTCCAATAGATCTCACATAAACACATGGCCTACTTTAGAACAGTCTTGAATATCAAAGTCCCAGATTAAACCAAAAAACAAACATCTATTCACTAATCTCCTCGTTTCATAGCTAATATTGTAAATAAATAGTAAACAGTCACATTTATATGGCTCCTTTCCACCTTCAAGACTCAAAACATTTTACATGAAGTAACTACTCACTAGAGATCTGCGCGGGACTGAAATTTCCATTCCAGCCTGCTCCCGACCACTCCCGCAAAGAATTGTAAATTTAATTCCCGCTCCCGTCTAAATCTGCGAAATTTTGTCCCGCTCTCGCCCGCAAATCCCAAGATGGGGACATTTGCTTTCTTAAACTCTATCAAACGCCGAGAAGTGGAAAGGAATTGTCTAAAATGTGTGTGAGATTAGACCACATCCTAAAGTTTAGGCTGCTTAAAAATGTTTTATTAAGGCCAAATAAAATATCCAGCACACATTCCGTAAATTAGGCATATATTAATCGTTTGTAAATTTTACTTTACACTTATATTTAGTTTGCGGGACTGCAGTTTATCATCCCACCTGTCCACTCCCGTAATGAGCTCCTCTACCACTCACCCATTACAGGCACATTCATACATTGGTGTATGCAGACACTGGGGGCGAAGAAGGTTAAGTGTCTTGCCCAAGGACACAATAACAGCATTTATCTTGGAGCGTGATTAACCTACCCAACCACCAAAAAAGTGTGCTCAAGGACACGACGACAGTGTACAGAGAGCAGAGAGGGGATCAGACCTGGCCTTTCCTGTACATAGAGAGTGGTGTGTAGCTCATGTTGTGTACCTTGTCGATCATCTTCATCCACTTGGCGAGGTCATCAAACGTCTCCTGTTTGGTGATGTCGTACACGATGACGATTCCCTTTGCTCCTCTGTAGTACGCCGACGTGATGGAGTTGAAGCGCTCCTGTCCCGCCGTGTCCCTGGGAGAGGAAAGAAAGATTCACTATGTCAAGTTCTGATAATGCGCGATCATCATCAGGTTGCTTGGAGAGGTTATTGCTTTGTCTGGAATGTTCCACAGTAGGGCTTTAAACATTTCTATTTCATTCAATATCACTGTTTCAATAGCTAAAATATATATGAAAAACATACACTCTTAGATTACGTTTACAGATAGCTGGGTATGTTGAAAAACGAACACTTCCCTCCCTCTGTTTTCCAAAATAACATTGTGCACACAGCATCGTTTTCAAAAAAGTTTTCACATCAACCCACATAAATACGCCATCGAGCGCCATTATAACTGCGCCAAGCCTCTGGGCAGCACCTGGATTAGATTCAAACTTTGTTCCTTGAAAAACATGCATTACTGAGCGGGCGTGAAAAGTGTTTGCACCAGAAGAAATGCAGCTACTGTTCTGAATGCTCCATCATCATCATCATCAGAGCAAAAGGGAAGCATTGGTTCCACTTTTGGTGCGTCAGCTCCTAAAACTCAATTTATCTCACTTTAGATGCAAACGTCAAACCGTAGTTTTCCAGAATCTTCACTCTAGCCAGAGTTTTTAGAAAGATTCTGTAAAAGATGGGTACAAACGAAGGGAAATGTCTAATTTTTTTAAAAAATTCCCCTTAATGGCTCGCCTCTTCACACAGATGTAACCTGTAACCCGCCTGGCGTCTCCATGGAGATAAATATATGTTATGCCAATCTATGGAACATTCCAGGCAAGCAAGTGGTGGACTCTCCACCAGAAAAGTTACAGAGTGTACCTTTAACAAATCTAGATTTAGTAAGAAATGTTGTCAAATACATAATACTTTTAACACATGATGCACTGGGGGGAAACTGTGAATGGAGTGATGTGATTAAAGCTTAATTTTGACAAGAATGTGGTGAGACAAGAGAGCATTATGTGGAACACAGAGCATCTAAATCCACAAATTAGATTTTTCTATTATGAGTAAATCTACTACAAAATACTACAAAGAAGTGACACACATAATGCACACAAGCCTAAAAAAATAATGCATCAAATGATCTGAATATAGAGGGTCATAAATAATAACAACATAGTTACACACAAAAACAGCAACATGAAGACAGACAAAAACTCAATACTCAATATAAAACAAACAAAAAGCCACAACAGCAGAAATGTTTGCAATGAGGCAGTGAGGTTACTGTACCTTGAGTTAGTTTAGTCCTTTCCCAGTGACTCAGAGTCTTATGGCTTATGAGGCACAGCAGACAAACACACAGTGAAGTAAAGATGCATGTGATGAGACATGGAAACACACAGCTTTAGCAGTACTACAATAGTATTAGTAGTAGTAGTATGCTGATAGTCATGTGGTGAAAGGAGCAGAAGCAATATGGAGTTCAACAGTGACTGTCCATTAAGTTCCCGATGCAAATTCCCCATTTATTTTTCCCATAAAAAATAAAACAACAAATAATATTAAAACTTTAAGAGCAGCTTGGAGCTAATCGGCTGCATGGTAACTTTTAAATCTGGTATATCCGTTTCTGAAACTTAATAAACTGGTTAATTGACACAGTGTCTTTTGGGTTGTTTATTAAGTTAGCACACAGAAAGTTATTGAAGTGGTGACATTTAGAATTTTATGGGAAAACTGAGGGGGATTTTTCTTCTGGAGCCTCAGTGGGCTTCAGAGTGGGCGGGACTGTTGAGCTGGGTGGATAAAATGGACATGAAAGAACGCTATTAGAGAAGTAAGGATGAGACAATATCATGCACAACAAAATAAAAATGCCACAAACTAGAATATCCCACAGTAGAGCATTAAAGAGAGGGTATTAAACTTCTATGGGGTATTAAATGCTCACAAATAACACACTAGTATTTAGAGCACAATGTTAACTTTTGTTTTGAAATGCTGTACGTGTTAATACATTTCATTTTTGTTTTTGATGACTCCCCCTCCCTTGGCTCACTCAGCGCTAAGTCACTCCCCCTTCAGAGCGGCATCACATCTACAGCACATCGCACCAGGTTTGTGAAGTTGTATTGTATTGTTTTATATCATGGTTTTGTGTATTTGCGTAACATTGTCGTGTCATAGGCTTGTGGGCGGAGCTTTAACAGAGACAAGACATGAAACTGGATGTACGTGAACGAGACAAGACGAGATTCTGAGATTCCTGATGTTTATAATAATCCAGTTACAAATTTTGGCCATTTTTGCATTTATTTGTTAATATTTCTATTGTCATTGTACTCTGCGTTTTGGAACGACAGTTTCTCCAAAAATTTTACTCACCAGTACTTAACTTGTTTTTTATCCAATCCAAATGTAAAAACATGAGGAAAAAATCTCACCAGATAAGGGTTGCTCGATTATGGAAAAAATCATTATCACGATTATTTTGGTCAATATTGAAATCACGATTATTCAAACAATTATTTTTAGATACACGATGCATTTATTCAGCATTTCTCTCTAAAAAAAAACAACAACTTTGATTTTTGATAATTTACACAAAACTTTCAAACTGAAAATAAATATAGGCTTTGGACAGAATCGTACAGCTATAACCGTAACAAGGGTTCAAATAGTGCCCAGGAGAGATCGCTAAATTACTCAAACATGCATGGATGAGATCTAAAACCTCTTCAGGTGTGTTTTTGATGAGGGAACAATGTTATAATAATAGGAAGCTTCAAAAAACATATTGTATATTTTGTAAATGTATCACAGATTTTGCAATATCCCCTCTTTAAACGTACTAGAAATGTTACACAGTACAGCTTTAATAGAATGCAAGATCTATTAGGGTATCTGATTTGTCTAGTTCTAGGTCTGACTTTTACAGTCCATGTAAAAGTAGGTGTCTAGATGTTTTTGTAATGTAGTTAGCGGCTTATTCGAGTCACAAGACAGGATGACATCTCTAATCATATTAAAGTGTACAAAATCTGCACAGAAGTTTTGGTGTTTCTCCAAGTCACAGAAATGAATCATCTGCGCCTCATGGGTTTGAAAATGAAACATTTCTATTTAGTTAAAAGGTAGAGTATTAAAGATCAGATACTAAAACTGGTATCGAAACTGGATGCTCATTAAAGTAGGCATAGATGTAAAAAAGAAGTCACATTCACGCGACAGAAATTAACCTTTCCTGAATAGTTTTAGAATGATATTGAGCTGTATCAGAACAAATATAAGAGCACATAGATTAGTTTACGCCCATGGACCACTATGAAACCTACCTGGACCACTGAGGGATTACACAGATATAAGACTACATGGAAATATAAAACCACATTTTATTACTTTTACATCAGGGGTGTCAAACTGAAATTCACAGAGGGCCAGAATCAAAATCATCAAATCTAAGTCTTGGGCCAAACTAAATATTTAATGAAAAATTTCAACAACATCTGCATGTTTTCTCCTCTTTTGACATAAGGAATGTTAAACGTTTTCTTATTAAAATAAATGTTTAATAATAGTTTTGCTTAAATATTGAATCTAGAACAAGCAGAATATAAAATAATAACAACATTTTTAATAAATAATGTCTCTGTAGCCGGCGGGCAGCTCTAATAAATATTTGATCTTGCTGCCAAAATAATATATTCCTTAGTATTGAAGCAAGTTTGAAATGTTTGTATTGTACCAACCCAAGTTAAAGATGCATGCTGATTGTAAAGTGATATCCCTTTGAAGGGGAAGTGACATAGTGCGGGAAGTAAAGGAAGAGGGAATTTCAGAGTGCCAAAAACAAAACTGAAACTCATAAAATATGTTAATAAGTTGTTTCTGGCAAATAAACCATTTTCAAAACAATAAAAGGTAACATGGTGATCTAAATAAGTTACGTGTTAGCAGTAAATACCCCAGGGAAGTGAACCACTTTTGTTTTTCATGTTTCTTAAAAGTAAAAATCAGATCAAATCACAGTGTTTTTAAGTCCACAGTTGAATGTCTGGTTTCGAAGGACAGAGGAAGTGCGCTACATAAAAAGGACTTGTTTCGTTGACTCACCATATCTGTAGCCTGATCTTCTTCCCTCTCAGCTCCACCGTCTTGATTTTGAAGTCTACTCCTGTGGGGAAAAAAGAATGAATACAGGCATTCAAAACAAACCAGCAGTGTTTATTCAGCAGCTGCGAGAAATCTCTGTTGCTTCTTCCGAAATTGGGTCAATGTAAGAGTTTAGTTTATACTGGCTTCTTGGTGTTAGTACTAGGGTTGTCGAAAATCAGACAGTAATTGATACAAAAACTACTATAGAAACTAGACACTCATTTGAGCATGTATTGATACTAAAAAAGTCACATTCACAGGACAGAAATGAACTTTTCCTGAATAGATTTAGAATCATCTTGAGCTGTATCAGAACAAACATAGACAACATAAATTAGTGACAAAACTTGGACGACTGAGGGATTACAAAGATATGAGACCACATACTAAAAGAAAGTACGAAGAAATTTCAGATTGAGTTGAAAAAGTCCTGTATTAGACTTCATATCATGCTGGTTTTGACCTGCCTTAGTCCTTGGTTTTGCCCAATGTTTAACAAATATTTGTCCTGGACTAGGGTTGGACAAAATACAATTTAGACAAGATGAGACAAGATATGAAACTGGACGAATGTGAATGAGACAAGACGAGATTTTGGCATTGTTTATAATAAATAAATTGTTCAATCCAGTTCCCAATTTTGGCCTCACCATTTTTGCATTTATTTTAGTTAATATTTCTACTGTCGCTTTTTGGGACTACAGCTTCTCCAAAAATTTTTCTCACCAGTACTTAACTTTTTTTTTATCCAATCCAAATGTAAAAACATGGGGGGAAAATCTCACAAGATTAGAGCTGCTCGATTATGGAAAAAGTCATTATCAGGATTATTTTGGTCAGTATTGAAATCACGATTATTCAAACGATTATTTTTTAGTTACACGATGTATTTATTCCGCATTTCTCTCTCAAAAAAAAACACTTTGTTATTGAGCATTTATGCAAAACTTTCAAATTACAATATGTACCTTAGAGGAGTTTTGTGATGTATAAGACATAAAATGAATAAAACATACTTTGAACATGAAATAAGGCATAGAAAAACATAAATGTATCCAAAATAAATTATATATCCAGCTGTTCTACAATTTCTATATTTAAAAAGTAAAATAAATATACTTATCTATATTTAAAAAAATCCCAAAATAAACTTTGTTGACCTTTAAATCATTTCAATGTGATATGATTTTGGAGATCATTTGACACACAAATTGAAATCGCGATCAAAATTCAATTAATTGCACAGCCTTACACAAGATCATTTTCAGCATGTGTGCACAATTTCCTGGCAATTTTGTCTCATGAAATCGTGTCCCATCCCGATCCTGGACTAGACATTGTTCAGTCCAAGTGTCGTAGTGATACTCAAAGCAAATGGTGCTCATAAAACATTGATACGAGATTGAAAAAAAACTGTTAAAAGTGTTGTTATTCCCACGTATTGCTAAAAATGTGACAATAACCAGATTAAATATTTATTTCCACACCTCACTACCTATATCCTTCACCTCTGACAGCAGTAGTGGAGCGCAGTGACACAGGAATGACAGTTCAGCAGCTGCCAGACTATTTTGGGAGCCAACACAGTGACTCTGCGCTCTCTGGGCTGTTTACACACAAACACCACGGCTCCAGGCTCTTGTGTACATTAAATATTACAGCGTTGTAGTAGGTCAGACAAGTTTCAACTTTAAAATCAACAGGAGCCGTAGCTGAAGTCAAGAAACAAATCACAAAAACTGCAATTATTTATGTAATTGATTATATTGTTTACAGTGGATATTCTTATGTTGTTTACTGAAAGAAAATAAAACTGTGAACTATTGTGTGTTTAGATTTCTACAAACACATTCTGAAATGAAACTGAATTATTGTTTCTGTTCATATTCCAGTCTTTTCTAAAATAATCGCCTGAATGTGTTTGAACTGAGCACTCTGTACAGAATGCAGCTTTAACAATCACAATACTTGTCAGAAAATATTGCAATTCGATTTGTTTCCTAAAACTGTGCGGTCCTATTCTCTATGTAAGGTCTTTTTACATTAATAAGATGTTTTAGCCTTCAGATTGATGTGGATGTGCTTTATCTCTGGCAGTTTTGTGGTTTTCAGATTCAAGAATGTGAAGACGTCATACTCTCAGATGGGGGCAAGAGAAAGTTTTTCCTATTCATAACATTGTACTTTTCCCTGAAATATCTAAAAGGTAAATGCACAAATATTAGTGACTAGACACATTATCGTCCTGTAATTAAGGTGACCAGACCCAGGAATTTACCCGGGAAAGTCCCAGTTTTGAGCCATGTGGCCCTGTCCCAGCAGATTTATCCAAAACCACTGATTTGTCCCAGTTTAATACAAAAAATGTCCCTATTTTTGACAAATTTGGTCCTGGTCAGTAAAGAGAGGCATAAATTGTAATTTATTTAAGTAAAATACAGAAAAGTGTACTTAAAAATGACCAAAATGCACAGAAAATGTCACTATACTGGCTCATATCTTAGTCGTGAATGGGCCGAGTGCTTAACAGTTTTCCTTAATTACGCACTCGTTTCACAATTTTATTATTACAAACCACTCCAAACCGAGAGTGTCCCAGTTTTTTATTTTAAAAATCTGGCCACCCTACCTTACTTAAAACAATAAAGTGCATTTTAACTATATTACTTCTAAAGCTGTGCAAAAATACTGAAATATTGACATACTGTATTGTTTAATTTGATGATACAGTATCAATATCATGGGCTGCTGTATTGATATATTGCCAAGAGAATTTTTAGGTATAATTTACTAAATTATTTTGTGTAAAAACTACAACTGTGTTGACATTTTCACAGTTTTGATGGATAATTTTTTTTTAATACTTCTACAAACTTAGTGGGCTTAGTAGACTTTAGAATCACAGCCTTTATTTCACTGAACCGTATCGAACTGATCTGAAATATATTGTATAGAATTGCATTGAATTGAAAGCTCACTGTATTGACACTGTATGTATCGTATGGACAACTTCGTAGTGATACCCAGCCCTAATTATTTCTACTTGCCTTCAGTCTGTATTAAATGTTATTGGCAGACTGAATATCAGGGTTTTGATTTTGAAGTCTGCTCCTGTGGGGCAAAATAATGAATACAAGCATGCAAAAACAAACCAGCAGTTGTGGGGTATCTGTGTTGCTTCATCAGTAATAATTAGGTCAGTGTAACATTTGTGATGCCATCTGAACCCAGCAGCAGCCTCAATAAACTCAACAAAACAAAATCACGGTTTAAGATCTCACCTACGGTCGACTTGCAGGCTTCACAGAAAGTATCCGTGAACCTTTCCATGAGACTAGTTTTACCCACTCCCCGCGCTCCGATGATGATAATCTGCAGTTTAAAGTCAGCGGGTCTCGGAGGCACCTTCCTGCGGCGGGACTGCGCCCCCAAACCGGGAGAAGAGTTCCCCGAGCCTCCGCCACCTCCGGCGGCCCTCCGCGCTATGTCATATCTGTGATCCATCACAAAGCGCACATCTGGGACAAGGCTACAGTCAAACACAAAACAACACTGTCCTGGGTGTTTAAAAAATCAAACTTTTCCTGTTCTTCTGTAGAAGTTTGTAAAGTTTGTCACACGCAGAAGGTTGTTGTTCAGCCATTACACCATGACGTCACCGTCCGTACGATAAAACACTTCCGTTTCCGCTCGTTTATCGCAAACAGACGCTTTGACATTGATTTAAATCTTCATATCAGTCACATTTTGCCTTCATTTTAAATATATTGTGTTATTAATATATATTCCCGTTATAAATGCCACTTCGTTCGTAAGTAAACCGCACACAAGGTACGATTTATCACTGTTAAAGTCTCGCTTTCTCCTTTATATCACGGATCTATAATAAAAACAAAAAAATAAAATAAAAAATGAAAATAAAAACAATAATAAAACACAAAATAAAAAATATATAAAATAAATAACAAATAAATAAATAATTTTTAAAATTAAAGTTCTATGCTTTATATCCTCAAACTGACCACCACCGCGAGCACGCAACCTGTTACATAACTGCCCCCGCGACCCGGCCCAGGAAAGGCGGATGAAAATGGATGGATGGATAATAAAGGCCCGTACCATAGAACTATAATATATATTTTTTATTTTATTTTATTATTATTTTTTTTGCATTTTCTTTATTCATTTATTTAATTTTATTGTTTGTTTTATTTATTTATTTCATTTTTATTTTTTATTTTGTTCTGTACGTGAATCTAACGCACGTTTAACGCAGCGCTTTCCTTATTTTCTGTCCCCCTCAGGTTGCCGTAGTCTGCGACAGCCGTGACGTTGTAGTCCAAAGGAGGAGTCTCGTGTTAATCCAAACATCGACAGAACCTAAATCAAATAATTCCCTTTTTATCGATATTTCTGCGCTGATCGTATTGAAAACGTAACGCGATGGCTGCGCAGAAGATTAACGAAGCCCACGAGCACATAGCTAAAGCCGAAAAATGGTGAGTTTATTCAATGTTTTCCATCTAAAGCACGTCAATCTGTTTTACTATCAATGCGAGCTAACCATAAGGCCGTTTTCATTTTAATAACATCACTGCTATTTTTGTATTAATTATATATTTTACGATCGTGCTAAAAGCTAAACGCTAATTGACTGCGTTATTATCATGTGACAAAGCAGTAATATACGTGCGTGAGGCGTTTCTCAATGAATCATGTCATTTTTTGCAGCCTAAAAACCAGTCTGACTAAATGGAAGCCAGATTTTGACAGTGCAGCGTCTGAATACTCCAAAGCAGGTAATCAAGTGCATATAAGTGTCTCTAATATGCAAAAATAACTTGATTGACTTATGTAATGATTTGGTTTTAGCTGTGTGCTTCAAGAATGCCAAGCAATACGAGCAGGCGAAGGATGCTTACCTGAAGGAAGCAGAGTACCACACAGAAAACAAGACGTATCTTTAACTCTACTCATGTATATTTGATTTAAAGTGCAATTTTTGGCATTGCTATTTCCTTGACCCTCCCAACAGGCTCTTTCATGCAGCCAAGTAAGTGTTTTCTATGTATTACAGCTGTTTATATGACTAGATTTTCCACTTAGAGAATACCAGGGGCCACAGTGGGTAGGCTGTGTCTCTGCTGGATTTGTTGTGCTCTTAGTCACCCATATTGCCTAGTGTCTCCAGGGTATTAATATGGAGATTGCCAGTTAATCAACCAGTTCCAAGTTTAGCCTATTGGTCCGTCAAATTACATTATTATGATTTTATACACCATAAAGTAGCTACGGACAGAAATAACAGCTTAAAATAAATATTAATGACAAGTTGTAACATTTTATTGAAAGAAAATATATCTAATGTGATAATTCTGATTCTGAACGCTGAACAAAGACCAAATCTATTGTGGTAAATACTAATACTAGACACTTACATCGTGCAGCAAAAAGGCTGGTTCACAGTAGAGCACCAACACTGATGTCCTGACGCAGACCTGAACCATACAAGCTTCTGTGGAGCTCACCAGGACCCAAATGTATCATGAGAATCCAAACCATTTAATTTGTTTTGTTAGTACTACGAGTAACAATGACTATAGGCTAATATGCAGACAATTTTGTGACAAACTGTAGCTGTTCTGAATGTTTATTAATCAGTTGTCCATATGGTCTTTGTGCATTTGGTGGAAATTCAATGGGTGGTAACGTTTTGGCTGAGGTGCCCACTCATTGCACAGCGAGCACTACAAGCTTTCTGATTAGCGACTGGGTGCGTCAGGAAGCTGTGTGGCGCATCCATATTAAATAGATGCTGCACTATAAATCAGGAGGAGGCTATGGATTAAATAGAAAGCTGTTATATGTTTTAGTTCGACATATGGATCATATTCCCATTTAATTACACTAATTTACTGTGGTCCTCTCAACTTATCAATATATTGATTTATGAATGCCTTGCACACAGGTCTGGTCTAAGCCATGATTCAACAGTGCATGCATTGTTACTTTGAGCAGGGTCCCCTCTCCACTGATCTGATTTGTATCTTGGCCTGGTTACATAGCGCACCTTTAAATGAGAAACTTGTGATTCAACAAAACAGCTCAGAGGGCAGAAAAAGACAAACTGGAAACCTCTGCTGTCCAGTTTGTTGAAAATATAGTATGTTTTAATAATCAGCTGCGTATTTTATTTTTATTTAATTTATTTTGCACGTACTATAACATAACAATAAAAAAAAACACACTAGATAAAAAGTCGGTGCTGAGAGAGGCAAAAACCCCCAAAAGGTCTTAAATTAAAACCTCCACCTTATGAATACATTAAAAACTGAACATTATCGCTGTGCAGAAAAAAAAAAAAAACATTTACACATCTTGGATTAAATTTATTTGATTCAAACATGGATTAAAACACAATGAAACATCCACAATTGAATTATTATCAAACATTACCATGAAATATCAAACATTTCCTCAAACTCTCTTTAAACAACACCTCTGATCTGAAAAAAATGGCTCCAGAATTTACAGCCTTTCTATCGTAACAAAACAGAGCTCTTGATGTGACACATTTTGGAAATTATGATTTTGACGAGTTTTGTATCTATGAACCTTTGCAGTAGTTTTAAAGTAAAATGTGAAATGTTTGGGGATTGCCATTGAATTATAAATTGACGGTGAAATAATCAAATATAAAAATTACATCGTCATTATCTTAAATAGTCCCTGGTAAGATAACTAACTCACTTGTTTGACGTGGTGCCTGTTTTTTTCCTTTCTTTAGGGCGATCGAGCAGGCGGGAATGATGATGAAGGTGAGTTTGGTTACATAAATACTATACAAATGTGTCTGACGTGCTCATATCCAGGCCATAAGGTAACACGAGCTTCTTTTGTCTGCTCCAGGAACAAAAGAAGATGCCCGAAGCCATTCAGTACATAGAGAAAGCCTGTATGATGTACATGGAGAACGGGACTCCAGACACCGCAGCCATGGCTCTGGACCGGGCCGGGAAGTAAGACAATACACATGCACAATACACACAATACTGGTACACTACCTTTCAGGGAGAGCTCAGTGTGTTTTTGTGGCTGTGGACATTTGGAGTTGGTCGGTCATAGTTTATAAAAAGCTCTTCTACCTTCAAGGCACTCAATGTCATGGAAATATATTTAAATGACGATACACATCATGTACGTAATGTGATAGTGAGTAACTTTCTGAAGATGGAAAATCAAATGCCTAATTCCATGAAAACAGAAAGTTAAACCATACATCAGAGCATTCTCCATGGAGTTAAATTGGTTTTATGCCGTACAGTGGAATATTATAGCCAAAGGAGAAACATTTCTATGGAAACAAGCAGGATGAGCCCCTCCTTCAGGCCAAATAGGAGTCAGGTTTGTGGAGATGCAAGCCCGCTTAGAGTAAAAACACTTTTTAACATGTTTCAGTGCAATAAAAACATACATGATGGAGACACGTGCTTTTATTTTAGTATATTTTTAACCAAAAAGTTACATACTGACCCTTCAAATTAAAAAGACATACATTTCTTGTTTTTTATTTTATTTATTTATTTTTTGCAAAGTGTGGTGATTATCATGATTGGACAAAATGTACCCATAACTTTTTTTTTTTTTTTTTGTCACAGTTAGCAAAATTACAGTTTTTGGCCCATAGTTGCCTCCTTACCTGTGGGTCAGTGGATCTTATTCTTATGCTGCTCTGCACATGGCATTTTATAACATTCGTATATGATTGTTTTGTATATTGAGATTCATATTTATCATAATCATTGTATGTGCCCTGTTTAGTCCTAATGTACACTTGATTTGGTCCTGTTCTTGTCCTGATTTAGAACCATTTTAGCAGCAGTTTTGATCTGATACTGTTTGCGGACACATGTGAACGCACTCTAAGCCTGTGAACCAGAGGATAACTGGTTTAAATATTACCCAAACACGTGTCTTTTACCTTCAGGCGACACTAGGCATAAATATATATGAGTTTTAGTTCTTGTCATCTTAAATCTTAAATCTGAACTGCTCTAATTCACATGCTTTTACTGACAGAGGACTGACTGTGGATCTCAAGATTAAAAAGACCCAACATGTTATTGACAATTAAAGTGTCCATATTAAGCAATTTTCTGATCTATGTTATGATGTGGTTTCCTCATCACAAACGTACCTGGAGTTGTGTTTTTGTTTCATTCACACATGTTTAACACACAAACCCTGCATATTTAGGTTGAGTTCTTCTCAGACAGACACTGCTCCACTGTGTTTTTAAACTCCATACGCCTTCACTAAAATCATTCGGATGATTTCAGCCTGGGAATTTCTAATCTCTACTGAAAAAGAAGTAAAAGGTAGCTGTTAACTTGAAAAATACTGTTAAAAAATGCTGTTAACTTGAACCTTTTGTGCTTGGAAGATGTAAACATAATACACCAGGATTAATTAAACATGTGTGAATGAAACAAAACACAACTGCACGTATGTTTTTAGGTGGTACCAGCATTATAACATGGCTTAAAGATCACCAGAGTCCATTTTGCGTAATATAGAACTGTTAAAATCTGATTAAATGCAGTGCCCTACTCCATAAATCCAGGGTTCTTTTCTAAACTACTGCATGTATTTGTTCCAGACTTATAGAGCCCTTAAACCTGGAGAAGGCCGTGGACTTGTATCAGAAAGCAGCGGGAGTGTTTGAGGTGAGTTTCCAGATCAAACCAGAGGAGATGCTTCTGTTGTGGAGGAGGCTCACACGTGTTTTCTCTGCAGAACGAGGACCGGCTCAGACAGGCTGTGGAGCTGCTGGGGAAGGCCTCCAGACTGTTAGTGCGACTCAGAAGGTAATTGCAATGTCTTCATACAGAATCAGTGCGCAGTGTCGTTACTAATGCATTCAAGAGGACTTATAATTATGCTTTTGGAGGATTATTTATGGAGCTGTGTCTACCAGGTTATAAATATACTAAAGCGTGATACAAAACAATACACTACAACTTCACAAACCTGGTGCTGTAGTTTTTTTTAGCAGGAGGCATGCTGATTGTGCTGTGATAGTGCACTAAACGGGGAGTGACTTAGTGTGGAGAGCAAAGGGGAGGGAGGCTCAGAGCGTGAAACTTAATAATAATGTTAGTTTTTGGTGAATATAGCATTCTTTAAACAATAAAATGTAACATGGTGATCTAAATATGTTATGTGTTAGCAGTTATTAATACCCCATAAAAGTAATATCCTGTCTTTAAACTATAATCCATAGATCATCATTTTAGATTTAGGATTAGTCAAACTAAACTAATGATAAGAAAAACTATCATAACGTGGTTAAAAGGTCAGAAAAGTTAAATTTGCATAATCTCTCTCCTTTAATTAATCATTACTAAATCTTTTGTTGGACTTTTTCTTCTTGTTCTGTTTTCAGGCTGGATGAAGCAGCGGTTGCAGTCCAGAAAGAGAAAAACATGTACAAAGAGATCGAGAACTTCCCCATGTGCTTCAAGGTGAGTGCCAACAGTACGTTAGTGTATAATCCCATTGCTGACACCAATACTGATTATTTGCAACTGATGGCCAATAATCTCTCCTGATATGTTGAGGCTGATATGTAGGGAAATTTGGCAATTTTCCCCAAAAATATATGACTTGAAATTACAACTGATATAAATATTGTCTGCACTTTTTTACTGCTCTGAATAATTAAACTATGATAAGGAAAAATAATCAATAGAAATGATTTTTAGACATTCACACCCTTGTTTTTACTACTAACCAATAATGGAGTTGTGTAATTTTATTTTGTGAATGCCATCATTATAAGTGTTAAAATAAAGGTTTATGTAGGAATTTGTGAACCCAAACCAATTATCAGCCTAGACAGGAGATATAAGGCCGATAGCCGATGCACAAAAAAGTGCAAATATCAGCCCAATATACTAGTATCTGTCCATCTGTTGTAGAATTGGTAAAGGGCAGCACTAGGACTGATGTAAGGGGCATAACAAGATAATACCTCTAACAAGTGCTCTTACTGATTTATAAAAATGACAATTACAATCACAACTGAACTAATGACTGCAAACAGGTTTTAGTCATGAGATCTGGCAACCCAAATTGAGCTTTTATATCATGTAAACAAATATATATAATTCATATAATTCAACAGTGCAACTTTGATTTGAACATGTTTACTTTTTATGTTACTTCATAAAGTTTATAAAATAAATAACATTTTAAAAACATGAATTTACTACTTTCTAGTAATTGTTCCATGTTGTTGCAGAAAACCACAGCTCAGGTGCTGATTCACCTTCACAGAGGAGACTATGTGGCCGCAGACAAGTGTGTCAGAGAGAGCTACAGGTGAGTCCACACACACACGGCGATGTCAACAGTATCAGAAATCAGATCAATACTAAAACTACTATTGAAACGAGATACTCATTTGAGTAAGTATATAAAAAAAATCACATTAACAGGACAACATTTGAGCTTTCCTGAACAGTTTTAGCTTCATCAGAACAAATATAAGAGCTCATGCTAAGATAAAGACAGTACTGTTATTGTGTATTGATACTTTCATCAACATTCCCTGGGGTTGTGACGCTAACTTAGGCTCTGCTCTGTCTGAGGCTTTATTAAACTTTCATCTATGCTTTATTTTAACACAATATGACCAGAAAGAACTGAGTTACCTGAAACTACAACAGGTGAAATGCTCTTACTTTTTTTGATGAAAATCAAACTCCTAAACAGGACCATGAACGCTTGTATTGATCACAGGCTCCTGAAAATGTGTTGTGAAAATGTGTTTATTTTGTGTTTTTTCTTAAATCTTAAACATTAAAACTTTTATGACAGTGTTTGCCAATGTGTGCGTTGTGTCACCATGGTAACTCCTAAAGATTACCCCTTTAGAGATACATGTAGAACACCCCCAGCGTGAGGTCACTGCAAAGTATCAATATGAAAATTCTGTTACTAAAACAGGAGCATTTTTTAATCTTTGTGGTATCGTGTTCGGTATCGAGTGTTGAGTGAATTCTGTAGTATCGAAATTTAGTTTTAAATTTTAGTGTTGTAACTACGGTTTGCAAAAATATCAATATATCGTATCGTTTAATGTGATGATACAGTATTGATATCGGGGACTGCTGTATTGATATATCACCAAGAGTATTTTTTGGTTTGTTTTACTCAGTTATTTTGTGACAGTGCTACAGTTTTGTTGCTTGTTTAGAGGAAGGAAACTCGTTTATGCGACATATTTGACATTTTCACTGTTTTGAAGATTAAAATGTTTGTGTTTCATATGAACTTTGCACAAGAAGTGGTTTAACAAAGACTTTAAGTATCACAGCCATGATTTAGCCTTTATTTTGTATTGAACCGTATCAAATCAATTTAAAATGTAGTGTATTGAACTGAAAGTGCACTGTATAGAGATATATATCATATCGAGGCCTATGTATCGATGTATGTATTATATCGAGAACTTTTTAATGATACCCAGCCCGAATTGTGACAACACTACTACACGCACACTGTACAATCACCTCAATTTGATGATTTAGTTTTTAAAATTAATGATTATTTACATGTTTGTCCGTCCTGTCCCCTCAGCCTCCCCGGATACAGCGGGAGTGAGGACTGCGTTGCCATGGAGACGTTGCTGCAGGGATACGACGAGCAGGACGAGGACCAAGTGTACCGCGTGTGCAACTCCCCCCTGCTCAAGTACATGGACAACGACGTGAGTGCAGAGTCACAACTACTGTATTACGCTCAGGGTTCTCACTTTTTTTCACTGACAGACTTTCAAAACTTTTCCATGACATGTGTAGACCTGATCAGACTTTTAGGGCTAAATATGAAATCCACTCACCTTATGGTTTGGTATTATAGTTTTTTAACATTCAAAATACTGTCAGTGCATTTATCGTCTCTTTTAAACAAAAGGCGCAGACATTCAGAAATCATCATAACAGCCTAATGAGAACTAAACAGAACGCTGTAGTTGCGTGAAAGAGATACTAAAATCCCATGACTTTTCCAGAAATTTAATTGAACTTACAAAATTCCATGGCTTTTCCTGGATTTCCATGACCGTGGGAACCCTGTACACTTCTGATCTTTGTTAAAATGTTGTTTCATCATCACAAACATACCTGGAGTTGTGTTTTGTTTCATTCACACATGTTTTACACACCTTCTTCTCTCAAAACAGAAAACACTTTGTTCCACCTTGTGTTCTGAAGCTCCATAAACCTTTGTTAGAATCATTTGGATCATTTCAGCCCTGGAATTTCCAATCTCAGGTGTAAAAGGAGCTTGAAAACCACCTTTATATGACATTGTAAGGAGGAACAAAGGATTTAGAGCTTTGGAGATGTAGACAGAATAATAATAAGTTACTCAAATGTGTGAAGGAAACACAACACAACTCTAGGTATGTTTTTGAAGAGGTAACAACATTTTAACATGGCTAAAAGGTAATTTTGCTAATATGGGACCTTTAAGATTTGAAATTAAAGAATATATATTTGTAATAAGTGATACAGAAGGTTTCTGTTGCTCAGAAGTGATTTGTTAAGGCTCACTTTTACATTTTACTTTGTCCCCTTTGTGCGTCTTAGTAATAGTTTTAGAATATTATACTTTTTCATCATTAAAGATACAGCATTTAAGTTTGTGGAGGTGGCACGTTACCTTCATGATTCCATAGAAATAGAAAGTTAAAAGCACTTTGGAATATTCTCCACGGAAATAGACATGTTTTATACCAGACTGTGTTAAATAAGAGTCAGGTTTGTGGAGATGCAAGCCCACGCACTGTAAGGACACACATTTTTCATTGCAATAAACATAACCAAACCCCAAAAAACATGCTTTTATTTTAGTCGATTTTTGGACTAAATTTTTTTATTTTTAAATGCACTACCAGTCAAAAGTCAGGACACACTTTTTAATTTATGTTTCTTCTATATTTCCAAGATTATTTACACTGTAGATTTTCACTGAAAACTTGTTTTAGATTTGATATTTTTTAAAAATACCAACACTTGGAACACTGTTTTGCACTTTTGGCATTTCTTGACCCTGATGAGGCACAGCTGTGGAGTGAAAACCATTTCATCTGATTTCATCAAGACGCTCATTGAGAGAAGGCCAAAGGTTTGCAGCTCTGTCAACAAACCAAATGGGGCCACTTTGAGCATTTGAGGATGAAAAATAAAACATATTTATTTGAGTTATTTCACTTTTTCTCTTTACTACATAATTCCATAAATCTTACTTCATATATTAATACCGTATTTTTCAGACGGTCAGTCGCACTTTTCTTCATGGTTTGGGTGTTTCTTGCGACTTATACTCCAGTGCAACTTATATATTAATATTTTCACACTGACAGCCGGCAGAGGGCGCTCTAGTCTTGTGTGTCAGTATCTGCTGCTCCTAATGCTCCTGTACCACTGTCACTTGGCTCTACTGCACATGTCTCCTGCAGAAAGAGCCTCTGTCCTGTCTGTATCATGTTAGTCGATCGCAACATTACTTCTTTACCATTGAAAATCTAAAACAATCTTATAAAGACAACTGAGAAGACTGAACACAAATGCCCCCAAAAAGAAAATCATATTTTATAGATTACAAGCTGCAAGTAGCGAAATATGCAGCTGAAAATAGTAACCAAGCAGCAGAAAGAAAGTTTGGACTGAGTGAGAAACTTGTGACAACCGGAAGAATGCTCCATGTAACTTTCCTGGAATTTGGAAGATGTGACGTTAACAGCCTGTTGTTCTCTGTTCTATTGTTTTTACTATAACTTGCCTTTCAGACAAGAACAGAAAACAATTATTGTCATTATGCACAGTATAATGGAATGCAGAGCTGCTCCTTCAAAGTGCACACAACACAGTATAATAAAATACAATAATATAAAACTAAAAGTACTATCAGCTACTAGTTACTACACATATACAATAAAAAATGTGTGCAAACCCACCAGGGCTACACAGACAGACAGACACATACCAATAAAACAGTCTTGAGACTAAAGTGACTAAGGGGCTAGCAGATGAAATGCCAAGATGAAATGTCGGTTCCTGATCTCTGATTTTACAAAACAAATTAACCACAAAAAGTGTGACTTATATATGTTTTTTACTTCTTCCTAACGCATTTTTTAGCTGGTGTGACTTATACTCCAGAGCAACTTATAGTCCGAAAAATACAGTAATCTTCTGTATGTATCTAAATTGCAAAAAGTACTGTAGTAAACATAAAGAAAAAAACTAAACAATTTAATGAGAGAGGATGACTCCAAACTTTTGACTGGTAGTCCATATGTATCCAGAAACCTAATGCTACAACCAGGGCAGGAGACTGGAGGGGACAAACGGGTCTGTTGCTCTGGGCTCCAGGGTTTTAGCGGCTCAGAATCGGACCCTCTTCCTGTTATTTTATATTAAAGAGGGGTCCACGTGAGGCTTCTTGCCCCGTCCCCTAAATTTCTGTCGACGTGCGTGGCTAAAACAACGAATCAAGTGAACAAAACAAACATGTGCTCTGTCCTCCGCAGTATGCAAAACTGGCCATCTCCCTGCGCGTCCCTGGAGGAGGAGGGAAGAAGAAGAAGGCACCGGCGGCTCCACAAGGGGGCGCCAGCGGAGCACCTGCCCCGGCCGAGGAGGAGGACGACTATGAGGGAGGACTGTGCTAACTTTAGAACTGTCCCGCCGTGTAGAGAAGGTTTCAGCTGCGGACGTCTGGACACTGTTTTCAAGAAGTATCAGCTCTCATCCAGAATCCATGTTTAATTTGAAACACTCAGATTTTTATTTCAAAAACAGTGTCCACATGAGCGCCGTTGAAACTTTCTCTATGCTGAACCATGCCTGGACGAATGAGGGATTACACCGTCTCGTGACTGTCCCACTACTTCCTGTGTGTTCAACCAACGTGACAAAACTTCCAACTTTAATGCCTGTTTTTTTTTTTATTTATTCACAAAAACATATTGACAGGAGGTGTAAGGAAATCTGAACGTTTTTGGTAGCACTTTGTAATAACTACACTTTAATTAGAATGAATAAAACATGAACTAAAACTTAAAGGTGCACTCTGTAACTTTTTGGTCATTTTTTTTAATTGGACATTTATTCAATTACATGTTGTTTTATAGCTCGAAAATACCTAGAAAAGGGCATTCTGACTGTGAGCAGGGTCGCCCCTCCACAGATCTGACCTGTAAATTGGTCTGGTTTGTTCTCCATGAAGAAAAGCCACCAGAAAAGTTACACAATGCACCTTTAATTCATAATGAGCAAATATTTTAATAAGAATGATTCAGGCTTAGTAATTACTTAAAGAGATATTATGCAAAGTATTTTTGTTAATATCATGCCGGAAGAGGTTTTAAATGTCATCCAGGTGTGTTTAAGTCATCTAGTGATCTCTCCTGGACCCTATTCGAACTTTCTTTAAGGTTACCTGTAAGATTCGGTCCAAAGCTCCGCCCACAAGCCGCTAAACAATTCTACAAAAATATAAAAAAAACGAGACACAAAACTGAAGCTATGAATAGTTGTTTCTTTAAGCGGAATAGAGCTCTGAAGGGGGAGTGACTTAGCGTGGAGAGCAAAGAGAGGGAAGACTAAAGAGCGTCAGGAAACAGAAGTGAAATATTTTGGCGTATTTAGCATTTCAAGACAAAAATAATAATTAATAACCCTCAGAAGTAAAACACCTCCTCTTTAATAAAATATTGAGATTATGAATTAAGGCTTTGTTTGTTTTGTTTATTAAGGCTAATTAAGTTGTAGTAATTATAAAGTGTTACCTTTTTTTTATTATTTTGTTTTACTTTTATGCAATGAAAACGTTTCTTTATGGTAAAAACGTCCAAATGTGTACGTATGAAAGTTATAAGGGGTAGTCCAGTATTTTGTAAATGTGGGTCTATGCGATACTTGGCCAGTTAAAGCTGCACTGCGTAACTTTTCTGGTGAATTGCCGCTTGTCCTGCTTGTCTCCATGGAGATATCACCGCTTTGCTCGGAATGCTCCACAGTACGGTATCGCTGGCGTTACAAATTACTCCATTATCTCCATGAAAACAAGAAGCTGGGAAGGGATTTTTAGTGCGATGGATGAGTTTAACTCTGCCGAAAAAGTTACGCAGCGCAACACGGCATCTTTACATTCTAAATATTAAAGGGACAGTCTGGAATTTTGGACATAGGATCTCATTTCCCAGTGAGCCAGAGTGTTGGAGACGTGTGGAGACACTTTTTTAAATATTCCATCCAGTTCTTGTATTTGCAGAGGTCTTTAGTGCATGTCAATGGTCATAGTTATCCTGTCTTACCCACGCCACAAAACACCCAAAGAAAATCTGTTATTACTCCAGACTGTCGATGTAAATGTCTGTGTCGATAGAATAATTTTAGAAGTGAAACCAATCTTGCATTTGAAAGATTTATGTCTGAGCAGCAGCAGTGAGTTGTACTTCCTGATAGAAAGCTCAACAGCGGCGGACTGATATATGAGAAAATAGTCCCTCTCAACATGCGACGAGTCACGCAATGCAAGGTTAGTTTTGGTTCAGTCTGTATGGACTTTTGTGCTGCATACAGTCTGAACCAGGACTAAACCAGGTCTAAACAGTTTTCAGTCCCGGTCTGGTCCTGGTCTCAGTCCTGGTCTAATCTAGTCCTGGTCTCAGTCCCGATCTCAGTCACAGTCTGGTCCTGGTCTGATCCCGGCCTCAGTGCTGGTCTCAGTCCTGGTCTGGTGCCAGTCTCAGTCCTGGCCTCAGTCCTGGCCTCAGTCCTGGTCTGGTCCCGGTCTCAGTTCTGGTCTCAATAACAGTCTGGTCCTGGTCTGGTCCCAGTGTCAGTCCCGGTGTCAGTCCTGATCTCGATCACAGTCTGGTCCCAGTCTCAGTCCCAGTCTGGTCCCGGTCTCAATCCTGGTTTCAGTCCTGGTCTGGTCCCGGTCTCAGTCCCGGTCTCAATCACAGTCTAGTTCTGGTCTGGTCCCGGTCTCAGTCCAGGTCTCAGTCCCGGTCTGGTACCAGTCTACGTCCTGATCTCAGTCCCGGTCCCAGAAATGAAGTCCTATGTCCAAAATTCTGAACTGTCCCTTTAACAATAACTTACAACAAGAAGGTCAAGAAGGTCTCGGGTTCGATTCCCAGGCCGTGTTGGTATCGGAGAGAGCGCATGTTTTGACCCAGATCCGGGCTCTTACTGTATCTGGACGAGAATGGGTCAAACACAAACTTTCATACACTATACAAAATCGAGCTTTGGCACATGCTTCTGTCTGATCCTCCAACATTTCTGTATTAAAATATAAAAGTGTCTAATAGAACCACATGCAAAATCTCCCTGAAGTTGTATGTTTATGTGCTACCGAACTGTCAACGTGATGCTGTAAATTCTGCTGTTTGTGAATCAAGTCTTAGTCGCTATAGAAAATATATATATATATATGACTAGACTATACATATCTTAAGTGTTGATTCGTGTATAGGCGTTTGTACAAAGTTAATTTATTCAGTATTCATGGCTGCTTCAAAGCCCATCGGAAATGTTACTACAGCAATATACAGCCTTGTAAGTGCATGTGTTTGGACGAAATTAAAATGATCCGTGATGAAGAATGGCGAGCTTTTTTCCATACAGTTAATAATGTTGAAATGACAAACCAAATTGAAGTCTCAGATCTTGAAATGTGTTAAAAAGGGAACTTGTTTTTCAGTGCAATGTTGTAAAAAATAATTAAAAATCCACGTTAGTTAAAGAGCGCATATTACTATGTTTTTTCCTTATCACAAACAGACCTGGAGTTGTGTTTTTTTGTTTCATTCCCACGTGTTTTTTTTTTTTTTTTTTAGTGGTAACATACATGAATATTAAAACAGAAAGTGGCTCCCTCTTTTCTGCGTCACTTAAGGAAAAACTAAAACTAAAACACAACACTAATCACTCGAGGAAAAGCTACAACAAAACTGTCTTTCCGTCTATTTATATAATTTTTTTTTTTCAGTGCAATATTCACACACGTTTAACACACAAACTCTGCATATTTAGGTTTGTTTAGTTGTTGTTTAGTCCTGGTCTGGTCCAGCCTGGTCCCGGTTTCAGTCCCAGTCTTAGTCTCGGTCTCAGAGTCTGGTCCTCATCTAGTCCCAGCCTCAGTCCCGGTTTCAGTCCTGGTCCGGTCCCGGTCTGGTCCTGGTCTCAATCACAGTCTGGTCCTGGCCTGGTCCCGGCCTCAGTCCTAGTCTCAGTCCCAGTCTGGTCCCGGACTCTGTCCCGGTCTCAGTCCTGGTCCTGTTCCCTGTCTCAGTCCCAGTCTCAGTCCTGGTTCTGTTCCCGGTCTCAGTCCTGGTCTCAATCCTGGTCTCGGTCCCAATCTGGTTCCGGTCTGGTCCCGGAGCTGGTTCAGTCCTGGTTCAGTCCTGGTTCCGTCCGGCATCTCAGTTTAAGTCACAGAAACGGGAAACAGCCGTTATCCATTTTTTCCATTATTAATTTAAACACAAAATCAAAAACTGAAAAAATGAATAATAATTTTTTCATTTTGGTTTTGGAGACAAATAATGAAGAAAATAGTTTTTCCGTTTTCTTATTTTTGGTTTTATATTGAAAAACAAATGAACGAATGATACACAGATTGACCTCGCTCACAGCCAGAATGATTGTTTTTCTACGTATTTTTACACCATAAAACCACCTGTAATTTAATAAATGTAAAGTAAAGCTGTTTAATGTCACACTGTGGAACATTCCAGGCTGCACAATAGAAACAAGCAGGCGACGCACCCTCCTCTAGAAAAGTTACACAATGCACCTTTAACGCAGATGTATTTTTCGCAGTGTCTGTATCTTAACAATGAGATGTAACAGAAGTTTTTTCCGTTCCTTTGCGCTGCTGCTGACCACGTCTTGTGCGCTCCTCCACGTCCACTCTCCCAAAAAACTCTGCGTCAATAAACATTTCCGTTGCGTGGCAGTTTATGGTCTGTGTACATTTATCTTAAACGGGTTAGCCAACACTTTTTCCATATCAGAGGGAGCGGCTGCAGATCCAAAATGGCCCCTGACAGACGTGGTGCTGAGGCGGCTAATGCGCTCGGCTCTGAGATGTTTAATGCACAGATTTACAAGAGCGGGCAGACGACGTCACGCCATTCTGTAGGGCAATGTTTTGTAAAGGTGCATTGTGTAACTTTTCTGGTGGAGTGTCCGTCAAATGCTTTCAAGATGTTGTTGCTTTGTCTCGAATGTTTCACAGTATGGTATTAAACCTTTCTATCTTCATGGAGACCCAACCAGACCAAGTTACATGTCAGATCTGTGGAGAGGTATTTTTGAGCTTTAAAACCTCCTGTAATTGAATAAATGTAAGGTGGAGTTGTTTAAAGTCACACTGTGGAACATTCCAGGCAGAGAAATGGTGACGGAAATCCAGGCCTGCGTCACCTAGTGCCTCCACTCAGTTTCATTTCTCTCCAACGACTAGGTCAGGAATCGGAATACACTAGACGGTTCGCAAAAACCCCGGAAGTGCGAGTCCCTGCACCAGCCAATCAACGAAGAGTCATATATTCTGTGTTGGTAACGATTCCCGAGATCGAGGATTTAAAGCCGGAACAAAGAGAATGTTTGGTGAATTTTATCAAGGGGAAAGACGTTATTGCCCTTTTTCCTACGGGATTTGGGAAAAGCTTAATATATTCAGCCTGTAATAATAGCGTGATTCATCAGCCGGTTTCCCTTCATTTCACTTCGTAGAAACCGTCTGACCACGCAGTGTTAGGATTCGTTCGCTTGATGGTAGGCTGGTACTTTTTTAATTTAGCCAATCGCTGCTATTTGGTTGTGACATATGTAATGCGCCGCTATCGGGGCTAACAGGTATATTAAGCTTTTCCCAAATCCCATAGGAAGAAGGACAATAACGTCTTTCCCCTTGATAAAATTCACCAAACATTCTCTTTGTTCTGGCTTTAAATCCTCGATCTCAGGAATCGTTGACAGCACAGAATGTACGGCTGATTGGCTGGTGCCTGAACTCGCACTTCCGAGGTTTTTGTCAACCGTCTAGTGTATTTTGATTCCTGACCTCGTCACTGGAGAGAAATGAAATTGAACGGAGGCACTAGGTAGCGCCAGCCAGGCTAGTGCATCACATACATCACAACCAAATAGCAGTGATTGGTTAAATTTTAAAAAAAAGTACCCACCTACAATCGAGCAAACGAATCCTGATACTGTGAGGTCAGATGGTTTCCACAAAGTGAAACTGGCTGATGAAACAGGCTTGGTGACGGACCCCCAACCAAAAAGTTACGTCGTGCACATTTAAGTTATAATGTTGTTTCCTCCTCAAAAACAGACCTGGAGTTGTGTTTTGTTTCATTCACACCTTTCCTTTATTATGTCTGTCTACACTGGCAAAGCTCAAAATGCTCTGTTCCACCTTGTGATGTCATGAAGCGATCGTTTTCAAGATTACAGCTCCTTTTACCTTTAGTTCAGTAGAGATTGGTGATTCCAGGGCTGAAATTATCCAAATGATTTAAAGTATCGTTTCCCAGTCGTTTTATTTATTCAGCTAATTTATCCAGAGTTAATTTATTCAGTATTCACGGCTACTTTAAAGCCCGTCGGAAATGTTACTACAGCAATAAATGGCCTTGTAAGTGCATGTGTCTGGATGAATTTAAAATGATCCTTGGTGAAGAATGGCGAGCTTTCTTCTATAACGGTAAATATATTGAAATTACAAGCCAAATTCATCTCAGATCTTGAAATGTGTTAAAAGGGAACTTGAGTCGTGATCCTCAAGAGATTTTTTTGGGGGGGTCGCCTTGTCACAATCTGCAATGTACAGATCTGACACATGAGGGAGCTAGTGAGTCAGTGAACCCCATCTGCCTGCTCCAAACGAGTGTTTCTGCAGCTAAAGTTGAGAAGTGCTTGGTTGGTTGTCCCAAAAGAAGGGTGATCAATCAGCAAAGGTCAGAGCCCTTCAGGAAAATTATGGATCCTTTTATTGCTGGTTCAATTACTGTTTTTCATTGTTTAAAACTTGAGTAATACTAATTGTTCAGAGACACGATCACTCAGTCAACAATAAAATATCCTCCATTAATGTTCAATAATGGTCAAATCTACCTTTATTTTGTGATTTAAGAATAATGTCTGTTGACTTGGGTCGTGGAAGTTTGTGATTTGTAAAATATGGGGCCCCAGAAAATAAATCAGTGTTTCCCAAACTTTTAAGTCTATGGAGTTTAAAAAAAAGAAAAGAAAGGCACATTTCCTGTATTATTATGTGGCATCATAAGGAGAGTTTTCCTAAATATGCAGGATTTGTGTGAATGAAACAAAACGCAACTCCAGGTCTGTTTGTGCAAAGAGGAAACATTCTCACATAGATCCGAAAATAGTGTAATATAGGCAAATTAAAATGCAGATTGTTGCAGTTCAGTGAATCCTTGGGTCTATTAGTCAAGAAATGATCAGGTTCAACATGTGTAGTGAAGGTGTGTGCAGTGTATTGCCCAAACTCACAACAGCACTATGCTAGAATTACTAAATTGAGTAATTCAGGGTTCCCTCTCTTTTTCACTGACAGAATCTCAAAACGTTTCCATGACTTTTTCATGACCTGAAGTGAATTTTCCATGACTTTACAGCACCTACATGTGTAGACCTGATCAGACTTTTAGGGTTATATATGAAATGTTAACTCTTTCCACTCACCTTATGGTTTGGTGTTATAGTTTTTTAACATTCAAAATACTGTCAGTGCATTTGTTGTCGTCTCTTTTAAACAAAAGGCGCATATGTTCAGAAATAATCATAATAGTCTAATGAGAACTTAACAGAATGCTGCAGTTGCTTGAAAGATATACTAAAATTCCATGACATTTTCAAGTTACATGACTTTTCTAGGATTTCCATGACTGTTTGAACCCTGGTAATTGAACCCACAGCATAACATAAATTAAAAGAAGCACCTACACACTCATATATCAGTGTATGTGGCATGTTATGTGTCTAGCCCAAGGACATAACTGCAGTACTCACTTGTTGGAGCTGGAATCGCACCGTCAACCGTGGGCCAGTGGATATGACTGCTTTACCAGTGATGTCCAGTGGGAGTCAAACCAGCAACCTTAGGATCAGCGGACGAGCACTCTACCAACTAAGATGTGATATTGATAATCTAAATTGGTAGTACGCACTTCAACCCTATGATTTTTCTTATTTCTAAGATTTTTTTCTCAAAATTAAACTCTAAGTCATTTTTATACCACATTTAAAGGGATGATTCAGTGTCATTTCAACCAAGGATCCTTTGCACCATGACCTCTACATTCAGTGTTGGGGAGTAACGGATTACATGTAACTGGGATTACGTAATCAGAGTACAATTTATGAGTAACTGTATTCAGTTACAGTTACTGTTTCAGTGAGTGGTAATTGGATTACAGTTACTTTGTTGAAATAAATGGATTAGACTGCGGTATTTTCCTGTTTTCACATTTTGGGCTAAACCAGGACTAAACCAGGACTAAACCAGGACTAAAACCAGGACTAAACCAGGACTAAACCAGGACTAAACCAGGACTACACCAGGACTACACCAGGACTAAACCAGGACTAAACCAGGACTACACCAGGTCTAAACCAGGTCTAAAAGCAGGACTAAACCTGGTCTAGACAATATGACACCTAACAGTAGGGTGGACATAATTTAAGGCAGCAGTGATCTCATATAGAAATAATTTCTCTATC